TCCTGTCCGAAGGGTCATCCAGTTCCACCTCCTCGAGCAAGGCAGCTGGCTCCAGTCGAGCGTCGAAATCGGCCTGTCTGGCCTTCTCGGAGATGCTGTTGACCCGGGCCTCTCGCTCGCTGAACCTCTCCATGGACTTGGTGTAGCAGGCCCTGGCCATATGGGGATCCGTGCGGGCTACCTCCACGCCCGTCTCAGTGGGGAATTTGATGCATGAGTGCCGCACGGAGCATATGGCCTCCAAATCCTCCAAGCCGGGCCGGCCCAAAATTGCGTTGTGAGCACATTTTAGGCGGACCACGACGAACGTCATCCGGATGCGAGCTGTGTGAGGCCCATCCCCGATTTCCACGGGGAGGTCGATGGTGCCCTCCGCATCGATGCAGTCCCCTGTGAAGCCGGAGAGCGGGGTGCGCAGGGGGGCCAGCTGATCCTTCCTCAGCTTCATTCCTTCGAATGCCTCCCAGTAGAGGATGTTCACGCTGCTCTCGGTGTCAACAAGGACGCGGCGGACGATCGCATTGTTGATGTCCATGCTGATCACCAACTCATCTCTGTGCGGGGCCGGTGACATTGGCAGGTCGGCCGGGCCAAAGGTGATGGCCTCCACCTTGCTTCTTTTGGTGGGGGGAGCCGATACGGATCCCACATAGAGGGACCTCTCAAACTTCTTCCGTTCAGCGGGTGTGTCTCCAGTCTCAGCGCCCCCGAAGATCACCTTGATCTCCAACTTCTTCTTCCCGCCGTTCGGGCCGAGGGACCCCTCCGGACGTTTATCAGCACTTCGATAATCCACGTCCTTTGGTTCGGCCTCGCGCCGATCATCGCGGCGCCATGTTCGTGGCCTCGGATTCGGCTGCCTTTGGCTATTCTTCTTCAGCAGTTGGGTGAACTCGCCCAGGTAACCCTGCCGGACCAGCTCGTCGATGGCCATCCTCAGCTGCTTGCAGTTGTCGGTGAGATGGCCGACCCTCTGGTGGTATTCGCAGTATGCGGTTTCATCAAGGCCCATGAGTGCCTTCTTGTCTTGGGGCTCCCTCAGGAGGCCCTTGTCCTTGATAGCATCAAAGATCTGGCCTACGGGGTAAGCCAAGGGGACGTGGTAATCCCCTGGACGTACGTGGCTTGCCTCGGGATGGGCCTTCCAAGGAACAGTGCTCCCGTCCATCTTCTTCTTTTTGTTCTTTGGGGATGGGTCACCTCCGGGGCCGAGCCTGTCGGATAATTTCCGGGAAGGGGCCGCGGGCGCGCCGTCCCTCAATCTGATCTCCTCTACAATAGAGGCATACTTCTGTGCCCGAGCCAGCACCTCGGTGTAGCTGGTGCTGGGGTTCCTCCGGAGGTCCCGGTATAAATCCCCCGTCGCCAGAGCACTGGTGAACATGTTCACTCCCAGCCGCTCGTCCAGGTCGTCCACCTGAAGCACTTCGTCTCTCCACCTGACCAGAAATTGGGCCAGAGGTTCGTCCTTCCCCTGCTTCACACTAGTGAGCGATGTGAAGCTCTTCTTGGGGGTGGTGCTGGCGGCGAATTGCGCCATGAACTGTTGAGACAGCTGTTCGTAGTTGTCAATGGATCCCGGTCTCAGCTGCTCGAACCACTCCTGCGCCGGACCCCTCAAGGTGCTGAAGAGGAGCCGGTAAATGGCCTCATTGGACGCTCCCAGCATGGAGAGGTTCCCCTGGAAGCTAATCAAGTGATCCTTGGGATCTCCGGTCCCATTGTATACGATCCCTCCGGGCGGTCTGCAGTCCCGCAGGATCTCTGCGTTCATGACCCTCGGAGTAAACGGTGAGGTGAGGGAGAATCGAGGCATAGTTGGGGTGGCCTCCGTCCGTCTGTCCATCTCGGCTATTCGATGTTCCATTGCCTCTAGTCGGGCCTCCTGTGCGGCCCTTCTGGGGGACACAGGAGGGGCAGCCTCGAGCACAATGTTCCTTCGTGGGGCAACCGCGTCGGGTTGCCTTCGGGTAATATGGGCACCTCGCCTCTGGAAGCGTCGTCCAATATTACTGGCAGCGGGGGTGACTGCCGTACTCTGATGTTCTGAGGGAACATCCGGCGTGCGCCCCCGATGATCGTCCTGCCAACCATAGCGGGGGGTACTGACGCTGGTGTGCCCCCTGGCTCCGTGGGAGGACGGATTTTGGCCCAACCTTGCGTGGACGGGCGTCCGACGCTCAGCTGATTCCGCCGTTCCATCTAGGGATTGCATGTGGTGGATCGGGGAGATGGGTGTCCAGATTGTGTTAGCTGAGTACACCTCCTCATCTGCCTCCTGTTCGTCCGCCATTCGGCGCATAGTTTCCGCCAGCTCCCTCATGAGTCGAGGGTCGCGTCTGGCCTCGTGGGGGATGAGGCTGGTGAGGCCACCATCACCCCCAGTAGTCCCCAACGTCTCCGAGCGTTCCGTGGTTTGCCCGCGGCTCCTTCGTCCGCGAGACAGTTGCTCGGAAAGGTCGCGTTGTTGATTGTTCCTTGCCATCGTGCTTGCTGTGGGTAGATTTAGTAGCTGTTTTGGGAGAGTTTGGAAACTTTTAGTTCAGCTTCCCACAGACGGCGCCGGTGTTGAGGTTTATTCCTTCAACCCTCGGGTCCAACACGTAAGCCCAAGGATTTCGAGTGGAGTGTGTATGAATATCTAGCCCAACTAGCAAGTGAGATGGATTACGAAACAATAAGTAGCAAGCAAGTGATTAGGTATTATTATTATCTGTTAATAACTCCCTAATACAATATTTGTCTTACAAGGCAGTAGAAGTGCTGCGAGTAAGGGTGCTATAGCTAGAGTGCTAAGAATAGAAAGTTGTCAACCCCTTACAATGAAATAAATGCTTCTATTTATACCCACCAATGGGCAGTTAGCTATGCTGGCGTGGAAGACTGCGGTTGGCTGGTGTCCCAACCACCAAATCTTCAGCATTAAATGCACTTCCCGCCAGAATCTATGTTTCCCGCCTAACCGGTGGGGACGTTCGTCCGGCGGGGGGGGGGGGGGGGGGGGTGAGCTGCTCCAGGTGGCTTGCAAAGGGTATTGGGTCGTTCGTCCCCTGACCCTTGGTGATTTTCGCCATGTAGACTGGATTGCCCCCAACGGCTATGGGCTTGCTTCTGACGACGTTCGTCGTCATTCTGATGGCCTGTGGGCCTGCTCCCTGTTGATAGAATAGACGTTCGTCGAATGGGCCGCTGAACCTGAGGCTCTTCTTCAGACGTTCGTCCATATTGAGTAAGTGGGCCTGCCAGGTTGGCCTAGTGGTCTTATCTGGACGTACGTCTGGATTAAGGGGTAAATGGGCCGAACCTCAATTTGGGCCATTAACCCAACAACTATGGTATTCCATCTTTCAGATTTTAGTTTTTTTATGTATTTTTCCAGGTCAGGTCTAGCCCCCCTGGATTTTTTCTTTAGCTTTATTTGGCATTATATTGTATTTCTCCAAGGGAATGCCCTTGTTGAAGATGTTTTGGCCTAGTCCACCTCTCCATTGTGTACTTCTGTTTTTTCATCAATAAAACATGGCAAACGCTCCCCGGCGTTTGCCCTTCTGATTTGGTGATTTGCCTTCTGTGTAAAAAAAAGAGAGACAAACCGATAACCATCATAAAAAAGAAATACATAGAAGACGTTTTTTATATTGCACCTTCACGTTACTTTATCACCGGCACCGCATGTTTTCTATTTCTCTAATTTTAGATATTAGAGACATGTTTCAATTGATTTGATTTTATATAGCTATAAGGTAAACATGTTTATGAATATTCTATTTTCCCTTACTAAATAGAAGTCAAACTATTTTTAATTGGTATACCCTACAAACCAACATTAATGTTGTCATAAATAAGGAAATGTTTTAAAAGACCATAATTAGATCCCAATATGACATGTTGAACACCATATTGAAAGCATAATTGTGGGCACTAATATAAAAAATGAAATTATCATAACATAAGAAACATCATATTAAACAATAAATCCAAATTACACTTCTGTTAAATTAAAATAACTGATAAAGAAAAGTAGTAATGAAAATCCATACTATATAATTAAGACTGCGCGCCCCAAAAAGCTCTTCAGAGGGTCATTGATCCTAAGACTATTCTCACCAAGCGCGCTAAACTGTAAAGCTCTTAGTAGATGAGCTTCTTAAGAAAATATGCATGATGCTGATTAGTACAACATTTAATCCTTTTCAGATCACCACTTAGAATCCCAACGTTCCCATCACAACTACAAGTTGATCCCAACACAAGCCTTAGACCCCTCCCCCCAACTAAGGGCCTGAATTCTAATGTCCTAGATCAACACATTGTCGCGGGGTTGCTCATATATCACTTGTAACACCCAGCCACAAAGGGTCCAAGGTCGTTACTCCTGGATGTGTTTCATACATCGTATTGTCCTCATAAACTAAACAAGACTTTTCTAGCACATTTTGTCCTCACTCATGCGCGTCATGGAAAACTTCCCAGAGGATCAACAATACTAAGATAGTAAGATTACCCCATGCAAACATATTTAATTGTGGAGTTCTTAGTATATGAGGTCCTTAAAAGAAAGTGCAATTTGTTAGCATGAGCAGTATTTTTAATGCTTGTGGGTACTTTTAATGCTTGTGAGTTCTTCCTGGTGTTAAAGTGATTGTAGCATTACCAATGACCATGGATATTATTTAGTCAAGATAAATATGGTGGAATTGTTAGAAGCTTGTGTGTATACATAATGACCGCAGATGGGTTATGGTAAATTCCGATGAGAACTAAGCTAGTGCGTGGCGGCCATGCATGAGCTAGGGAAGGGGATCAAGGAATATTATGAGTACATCTGTACATGGTGACCTTGGTCACAAGCTGGGAAAGAAGCTTGAAGAAGACTATATGCGATGACTATGGACATGGGTCAATGACTCAATAGAGGATTACCAAATTAGCCACACACACACATGTGGGCATGTGGCAATACATACACACACACATTAAGTGATAAAGGTACCAATTCATAAGAAAAAGCGATCTCAAATTCCGTTTCCCATACACGAGGAAAAATGTTCCACACAAGGAGACTTTTTTTAGTGTACACCAAACATAAAAAAATGTTTATTTAGGTATTTAATAGAAAATGAAAGTAAAATCCCTAGATACTACCAAACAAGCCGCCCTTCAATACAATGGTTTTTTATCAGCCAATTGTTCTGAACATGTTGAAGCTCAAATAGTCAAATGAGACTTTCAATCTTTCATACAATGGTGCATGAGTAAGATTTTCATGAGGGATTATCACCACAGCAACAACAAAAAACTACTCAGACACAGCTCCTCCATATCTATTCAAAATCATAGGTTTTTCAGTAAGAATAATTACACTATCCAACCAATGTCATATGAGATTTAGGGATTCGACTCATGGAGATTGAAATTTTTAGTATGCCGGTTATGATTCCACAAATCTCCTGTGTGTGTACTCATTCAGATGGTTGTGTTGCCAAACATCTCTTTCATGGGAGTGTTGCTCTTACTTCTTTCCTGTCTGCTCCGAAAGACTGTTCATATTAGGAAAAATTAGCTTTAAAATTAATACAAGCCACAATAAAGGCAAGTGTACACAATATTTTGGCTACATTTTTGTGTGGCATGCATTTTTCGAGATGCTGAAAATTTATTTTCATTCAATACATGCATGCAACACAAGAATGTGCCAAAAAATGTAGCAATACATTGTACAGAGTATATTTAAACAATGAGTAGCACAATGATTCAAGCTACAATCTGTAAGGATGTTTTTACTTGCACAAGATCAGAACAGACTACACTTAAATAGACCAAACCAGACCAGGCTTTAACAATTGTAAAATACATATAGAACAAACATCTACCAGATCAGACCAAAACGAGATCAGACCTCAAAATTAAAATCCAAGTAAAAACATCATAAGTTTACAATTCAGTGAAAATATACCAGCCACACTCTTTGATAAGTGATGCCAGCTAACATATCTAGCGAGGATTAGCGAAGGAAAATGTATTATCAGATCTTAAAACTAGCATGCGTAATTGCGTGGTCGCACCATGTACTCCCTTTGTGCCACAAAGCTTGGCCAAATTGAGTGACACGTGGCATGGCCCGTGGAATAAGAAAGTAAACATTGTGTGTTTGAAGTTTACGGTGACAGTATTATGCAGATACTTTCACATGTCATCAACGTGATTCACAAGGATTTATGAAAAGGGTAATATGGTGACGCTATGTAGCCAATACGTCATTTCAGTGCTGGAGCAGATTCACCAAGGACGGTCACTTCGTTGTGGAGGTTGTTAAGCTTCACATAGCGCGTACTACGCAACATCCACACTAGGGCAGACTCACATACCTGGCCCAATTTTTAGGGCTTGATCCTAAAATTTTCACAAAGAACATTAATAACAATTATGGTATATTGTGTTTGCCCTTCTCGTCATTTCAGTCATAGAGCAGAGAAGAGCCACGTCAAACCCCAGAAATCTCTTTTCACCGCTGCTTTTCACAACACGTCATTGCTACCCAATAACAGGTAGCCTCTGCATGCCACTGCTAGCTGCCAGTACGCCTCCTGGGCAAGTGTGGGATATTTTGATGTTTTATCAGTTATATTTTTTATTAGATTTTTATTTTTATTCATTTCATACTTCTTTATCTGAATTTTTATCAGTTTATTTTCCTTTTCCCATTTCGCATCTGATCTCCCTTACCTCTTAGAACAAAATAAGAGGTAAGAGACTTAAAAACAATGCATACCTCAGTTCCTAACCCTTTTGAATATACATTGGTGAAGAGCTCAGAAGGATCTGGCATGGGGCTCTCCTGTAAAGATAAAATGATCACTTAGTGTTGTTACGCTAAACTATCATGTCACACCAACAAATAAAACTGCAATTTTAAATTGTGCTTCACCTTTGCCTTTGTTATGGCTTCATCTACCTCTTTCCTCACTTCCTTCTCAATATCCTGGTGGAGAATCACAAAAGTTGAGAATTAGAACTAAAGAATTCTACACCACATGAAGCGTGCTAAGAATAACAAACCTCATTGCAAAAACATCTTATAGGGGTTCACGTTTAAAAAGTTGTCATCATTACCTTCAGCTCCTTTTCCGTTGCTAAATCATGAGCTAATATTAACTTTCTGACTCTTTCTATTGGATCACGCTCCTGAAAAGTAGAAACATGTCCAAAATAAAGATGACCAAAGCAACAGTCTTTATACGTAGAAGTGGTCTAGTATGTCCTAACACTCAATTTACCTGTCTGACTCCGCTGATTTCATCACGTGTGCGATAGGTGCTTCCAGGATCAGACATGGAGTGCCCATGGTACCTATAGGTGTCCATTTCAAGAATCTGATCGAAGTTAATGGATGTGCGTTAAAATGTGTAAAAGCCACATCACACTATAATTCCCATTTCATTCCATTATATATTTCAAATTGGAAATAATCTGTCTACTGCTGGCTCACAGAGATCACAACCATTTAATTAAGTAAAGATAGATTGAAGTTTTTAAAACTAATTCTAACTTAAAGAGATGTTCACAGTCATAACTCCTAAGTTCAGGATTACTTGTAGACAAACAATAACTAAAGAGTTCAGAAATTATGGTTTATATAGCAGTTACGTACCAAGTATGGCAATTGATACTCCATCAGAATTACTTTGTTTCCTATTATTTAGAGCTTATTGTGCCGATTCCATCAGAATTTCTCCGTTTCCTATTATTTAGAGCTTATTGTGCCGATCTTGTTGCTCAGTGGAATAGAGGCCGTCTAGAACAACTTATTTATAAACAAGGATCAACATATACCTTTTTTAGATATATGACTTCTCTTCTTATCTACCCATTAAAGCCTGCTTATGTTTTAGTATGTGAGCTTTCATCTACTTTTTGGAAAAGATAAGCCCTGGAAAGAGCTGTGCTTAACACACATTTAATCATATGATCCAATAATCACACTCATCACTATTTAGTTTAATGTAATACAGTGATTTAACTTTTGTAGACAAACTCCACTAACAGCTGGTCTAAACAAGCACTCAAATTATGATCCCATTCAAACATACTATCCATTAAACCAGATCAGATTGACAATTAAATAAACTTAAGATTCAATGGATACAATATTCTCATTATCACGGTTAAAAACTAGTAAAACCAATTAGAACCTTTATTCAGTATCAGCATATCCCTTTGTACTGCTAATGTAAATGGTAGTTGTTGCTGGATTATAATCTTTGTCATCAGCACCTTATTCTTAACTACGTCGGGTCGGTGACATGAAATCTATGACATAATGAATTGTTGCTAAATGATAGACTCCACAAAAGCAGCAGAAAATTAGTAGTATTGATGAAGATTTCAGAACTCTTAAGAGAAGTACAGGGGCAGAAAAACAGAAAGTAGCGAGAACAATACAGGTTGAGACACTTCGAGCAGTCTCCTTCGCCCAAGCCTATTTCCAATCCCAATTTCTGCACACCTTTCTTATTCCTCACTCCTCTTCTATTTATACTACTCCTTACTAATCGGCCCTCAACTCTTATTAATACTACTCTTATTATTATTATTATTATTAGCCTTATTAACCCAGGTCCCTATCATCACTCTCTCTTTGACAAACACCGTGTCCTCAAGGTGGATGATAGGAAACAACCCTGACCATCAGCTTCATCTTTGCGCCTCTCCCTTCCCAGATTGCTGAACCATGAGCTTCATTACTTGAACCAGCAAATTTCTAGCAAATTTCTGGTTTTTAAGATAAATTCACGAGGTGCTCCCTCATGGAGAAATCAATTACCGCAGCCTGACTAGTAGAGTCCAGATCCACACTGATTCTACCCAATGGGTATTCTGAAATAAATCCAAAAAACTCATCATGATTCTTAAAAATGATAACAGCATCAGGCTCCATTATTGCATAAATTTTTCTTTCAACAATGCTACCAAGAGCACACTATGGGTCATCCGGAAACAGTCTCTCTGTGTTTTAGTACAGGGGTAAGACTGCGTACATCCGACCCCCCCCCCCCTACCCCACCATAGGTGGGAGCCTTTGCGGCACGGGGGGTAAATGAAAATGATGAATGCTACCAAGATTTGACATCTGAGTGGGTAGAACTGATCCTTCAATAGCCATCTGAAACAGGTGGTCAAAACCTACACCTCCCTCTTGAACAAGTATACAAACTACTGGCACCCCCCAAACATCTTCAACAACGATTATGGCATCTGGGGAGACCAGGAATGAGATCATTGACAAGCATCAAACACAAATCAGCTTAAGCATCAGTAGCATATCCAACATATTCCTTATAATTCTCAGTAAATCCTACCCCCAACCCATTTTTGAATATATTTCATAGAAGTAACACCATCAAATCTGAAGCCATCAAACTTGTTCAGACCTTCCAAAATATTGTTTGATGACTGACGGTGCACAATATATATTAGAAGTTAGAACACCCAATCCAAGTTTTTGAACTCTACCAATCAAAGATTTAAAATCTTCTAGGTTTCAGTCTAGTGCACTAACATACCTCCGAGCATCATAGGTAAGGATATGCGGGTGAGAACAGCCCTCTTTATCACCTTCTATGACATTGTCGATCAGTTCCAAGGCATCACCAGGGTGCTCTGTATGATTGCTTTCCTGATGACCAGGAATGTAAACTTCGCCCAGTTTTGAACCTGATGGTGCAGCCGGCTTCAACTCAGTGTTCGTTGCCAGTGGTGGAGTCTCCATTGATCCCTTTCCTGATTCGACTAGGTTTATGGCTCTTGAAACGGGTGATTCCTATAGAAGTATTGAAGCTAGCGCACTGTGAGAAGCGGCTTGCGAAGCCATTTGCGAACTGACAGAAGTCGCTCACGACTGCGGACTGGGGAAAACCGGTTCAAGGTTGAGAACTGGGAGAAACGACGAACAACACTGCTGAGCCCTTGCTTCCAGAATTCCGATAACATTTCACGGTCCACGATCTCCCTCGTGAACGATGGTGTTCCTGACGCAGCATCCAGCTCCGCAGCTCTTCCATGCGTTTATCCTGGTTCTGCATTAAGCTTCACATCTCTTCCACAGCATTTCACACCTCCTGCACACTTCTCTCCACGGTCTCCACACGGTTTTCCATTCTCGCTCGCATCCAGGTCATTCACAGCTCTCCAGGTCATCGGCTCTGATACCAATGATAGAGACTCCACAAAAGCAGCAGAAAATTAGTAGTATTGATGAAGATTTCAGAACTCTTTGGAGAAGTACGGGGACGGAAAAACAGAAAGTAGCAAGAATAATATAGGATGAGACACTTCGAGCAGTTTCCCTCTCCCAAACCTATTTCCAATCCCAATTTCTGCCTACCTTTCTTATTCCTCACACCTCTTCTGTTTATACTACTCCTTACTAACCGACCCTCAACTCTTATTTATACTACTCTTATTATTATTAGACTAATTAACCCGGGTCCCTAACACTGAATCATCAATTAAATCCCAATTACTTTGTATATATTTACATAATTACATTCATATATATGCACAAAAATATTCAATCTTCTTATGCCTAAGAGGCTAAGAGACCAAAGCCCGACCCATGCTCGTGAGGTTGTATCTTTATACACCCCCCTATCCAATTCTTCCCTAAATAAGAACCATAAACCTGAATTTGCATTTCTACTTGGGCAAGCCTAATGGTGACAAACTAAATAAAACATAAAGGAAAGTCCACTGATTAAATAAGGTATTTAAATCTGCCACCAAATAATAATACTAATAAAAGTACACTTTTAGATTAATGGAACAGTATAGGTGGTTAATACAAGACAAGTAAAGAAGCAACATTTTATTATGTGGAAGACCATTTCAGCCTTTTTCAAGTCAGTCTACCCTGTTATCCATGACAATGTCACTACCAATGAACATTATCATAAGAATGGTATAATATCTATATAAAGTTTTGCCTGAGAACAATAAATTCTCATAGATCAAGGAACAAAATGTACTCAGAACTCACTATTGGTCCATTCTTCAGAGCATAGTCCTTGGCAAATTTGCATGCCTGTTTAACAGCAAGAACATCCATACCATCCACCTGTTGCACGAAGCAATTGTTCAGATATACATAACCATTCAGGACAGTAAAATCACTGAATATTAACAGAGACCTCTATGCAATATTACAATCCTTGATTTGGAAAATCATGGGGGCGCAGGGTATAGCAATACTCTAGTACTTTAGAAAAAGCTACATTGATGTGAATAAATGTTAAAAGAATGTGATGAACTTATGAAGTATTCCCTTAAGAACAGTGTCTTTACAAGGACAAAGCATTTGAGTTGGAACACTTGCTCATAAATATGGAATAAAAACTAAGATTAAGTGCACTTAAGTATTCATAAAGCCATACAATCTTTTTCTGTTGGGCTTTAAGAATTATCAAAACTCAACAGATTAACAAAGCATTGAGGCAAAACTCTCACACGTTGAAAGTTATGTCATCATCATAAACAGATTAAACAGATATCAAACTGCTTTCCAAAGTAAAGAAATGTAAGGTACACACTATATTTTCAAAATACCTTTAGACCAGGTACATAATCCCCTCTCTTATAGTAGGCAGGACTTTTTGCTGCCCTCCATTCTGCTGTCCCCATTCCATCTGTGCAATAACAGGGCCATCAAACAGATGGCAAGTTGCTCAATAAAAAAAGCTAGAGAATATTACTAGGTATATGACTAGAAGAGGTGGTGATTCCTAAAATATGACTAAACAGTTTTCTATTCCTAATTAATGGTGTTTTGCATGTATGGTATGTGTTTAGAGAATATTACTAGGTATATGACTAGAAGAGGTGGTGATTCCTAAAATATGACTAAACAGTTTTCTATTCCTAATGAATGGTGTTTTGCATGTATGGTATGTGTTTTGGTGTTACTTTTTCTCCATTCAATTCAAGTATTACGCATATAAGGCTAGTTTAAATTTGTTAGTCCTATATTAGGAATCTATAATTTTTTTAGTCACAGATAGAAAAACATTCGAGATATTCCCAAAAAAAAAACTACCCAGAAGTCCAGAACCCACCTCATTCCTTCAGTTCATTATACTATACAGTTTTACTTTCTGAATATAATTTTAGAAACTATAGCAGAACACATCAGAAAGAAAGTTGTTCCACCAAACAAACCATTAAGTTAGGTCAGCACCAAGAAATAATGAAAGAGGTCATGTTATATAAAGTCGTATATTCTGTTTAATAATATTGGATAACATAGCTATATGAAATGATTGGGAGTCATGAAGTTGGAAAAAAAAGAGGACGTGCACAATTTATGATAAAGATCATCCCGTTCTTACAGTGATTGTTCTCGCACACCAAGATAGCAGGCAAATCCCAAAGCGCCGCCATGTTCAAAGCTTCAAAGAGTTGACCTTGGTTGGCAGCACCATCTCCGTATAAAGAGAAACTGACATGATCCTCTTTTGAGTACTTCTGAGCAAACGCCAATCCAATACCTAGCGGAACCTGAGCCCCTACAATCCCGTGGCCTCCGTAAAATCCATTATTCTTCTTGTAAAAGTGCATAGAGCCCCCTTTGCCCTTAGAACATCCATCTTTTCGTCCCATAAGCTCCGAAAAAGCTTCGTGTAGCGTCCCCCCGCGGGCAAGGTAGATGCAGTGGTCTCGGTATGCTGTGATGATGCAGTCCTTTCTGGTAATCGCGGACTCCATGCCGACGGCAACCGCTTCCTGACCGTCGTACAGGTGACAGAAGCCTCGAATGAGCTTGGCCTTGTAGAGCGAATCGGATGCGATCTCCATCCTACGCATCAGCGCCATTTCTCGGAAGAAGTCCAACAGCTCCTTATGGGTCGTCTCAACGGAGCGCGATGGAGGATCTATCCTGTGGGCGCTGAAGGGGAGGTTGGTCTCTACTGTGATGACTGCAGCGGAGTCGGTAGATAGGTGGCGGATAAAGGAGACAGCCGCTGACAACGGCTTCAGGAGAGCCGCACTATGCCGCGCCGGTAAAGCCATTTCCAACGATTTGATTAGAATCTGACGACTTTCTGACCCGAGGTCCCCCTGCTCAAGTTCTACACGGTTGCCAGGTTCGGAGATACGGGAATAGTTTAGGGAAAATTATTAGGGGGATTCACCTAAATGGGAGTAATTATAATATTAATTGCCAAGTTTAATAATTCCTTAAATAGGAGTTATAATTTGCATTTGGACAAAAATATCCCCAAGCTTGACAAAACGGTTGCCCTTGACAGACCACCTGACCGGCCGCCTCCAGCCGACTCCGGCCGCCGTCATCCGCCACCGACCACCGCGGGCAGTCGCCAGAGCTTGAAAAATAGCCGCTTCTGCATATCTGATCAGCGCCACCGTAGATCCGGCTGCCACCTTTCTAGACCAAGCCAGATCTAGCCTCTGTGGACCGCCACTCCTGCAGATCCAGCCGCCGCCACTGCAGATCCGGCCGCCGCCGTCACAGATCCGGCCACTGGTAATGTAGATCTGGTTGTTACCACCACAGATGCAAACCTTTATATCAGAATGCCAACATTAATCAGAGAATGCCATCTTAATGGCATTTATAAAGAAAGTTTTGAAATTCTTAAAGAATAAGAATGTCATTTTGTTGGCATTTAAAAAAAAATTGGCAATTGTAAAACCAAATTCTTCGTAGTATTCACTCGAGCCATTAGGGAGAACAAGAAGCAGAGCAACTTGATTTCAGCCCTTGTGACAAACGCAGAGCAACTAAAAACCCAAAGAATAGGAAGAAGAAGAAGCAAAGAGACAGAAAAGAAGAGAGAAGAAGACCTCGATCAGTGCTTGGCACCATCACCGCCAAACCAGATTCACGAGGGAAAATTGAAGAAACAAAGGAGTGCAAGGAAGAGGCCGACTTGCTGCCACTGCTCGATCTCCAGTGCACGCTGCCGCTGCTCGCGGCGCTCTCTACTGCTACTCGCCGTCGCTCGGTGCAGTTTCGCCACCACTTGCCGTTGAAGCCAAGCTCGCTTGTGCACAAAGATGGAGAATGGTCATTCACGTGGGTCGGTTATGAGTTGCGGCTGGTTAAATGGATTAAAGGGGTAAAACTGGAAGAATGGTCCTATTTGGGGAATAAAACATATCTACTCTTATTTGGGAATTTCAACAACAATTTAGTCCTAATTGGGGCTATTAACTCAAATTATTACTCCTTGTTAATTACTACGGGTATGTTATAATTATTAATGCAATCTTGCATTTTAAAAAATCAATTGTTACCCCTGAGTTTTGATTATTCTCACTATATGACTATATGCTCCTTTCATGTTAATATTTGTTAAATTAAATTTAATATAATTCTTAAATTCAATGAAAATTATAACTGAAATTAATTTTTAAAGTAAAACACAATTTATTATCATAATTATGAGTCATTGTTTTTTATTGTTATTTTTTTGCTTAGCTACTCGATTGTGGAATAAATATTGATCAAAGTAGTTAAGGTAAAAGAGTCTTAATTGAGTAATATTCATGGGATACATAAAAAGAAATATTATTTGAAATATGTGTTATCAAAATTATATACACCTCTTCATCATCAATATAAAAGTCTTATTTGTAATTCATCCGGACGAATTAATCTCAATACCACTTCTTTCGTATGTAGCAAAGAACCAAGAAAAAATGAATTTTATCAATTCATGACCTAAAAGATTGATCTAGTATTGATAAGATATCTAAAAGACAAAAATGTATCGATATAAGGTTTGAATAAATGAAACATATCGATCTAAGAACTAAAATATACTCCATATATCATAGATTTTGATTTGTTTAATTTTTTATTAATTCTATTACTAATTTTGATGATTTCTACTCAAAAAAAAGTTTATTAATTTAATAAGCTTAAATGATATTTATTTTTTTAAAACAAAAAATATAAATTCATAATATTTTATATCTTACTCGTGAGTCTTTTCCCATAACAGTAAAAAACAATGACTTATAATAATGATTGATGGAGTATATGGCCCAGGAACCCCCGGCCCACAGACTCCTACTTCTTCTACAAAGGCCCAACAGGCCCAGGAAGCATAGGAGGCCCAAAGCACAGCGTCCCAAGCCCGAGAAGCCCGCTGCACCCGAATAGGTGCCTTCGGCCTCCTTGGCCGAAGGCTCCAAATCTCACAGGGCTGCCGGTTTTCGAGCATACGAAGCTACTGGGAGAAAACAGCGTAAAACAGTGACCCTCGGCTACCAGGAGCCTTCGGCCAAACACACATGGTGCCTTCGGCATCAGGGAAGCCTTCGGCACTCCCATGCCTTCGGCTACACAAAGCCCTCGGCCGAAGGGGGAGCCTTCGACCAACAACTCAATCATCGAAGATTCCCTTTGGAGACAAGCAACCACCACATTTAATGCGACGTCACATCCACCCACCGCATTCAATGCGGTGCACATGCGATTGCCAGTGCCACCCGGTTGAGGTGACCCCTCGGCCGTTAGATTATCGCCACGTGTACTCTCATCGCATTTATTGCTGCTATAAATAGCAGCCCCTTTCCCCATTGTAAAGGACCAGAACATCTCGAGTTCATAAATATAATCGTCTCTCTCTCCTACTTGTTTGCTCTGACTTCTCTCTAGGTTATTCTCACAATAACCCCTCGGATAAGCTACCCCCCGGGTACACTGTCCATCATTTGGTGCTCTCGTTGAGAGGTCCGAACAATCAAGTAAGAAACCCTCCCCTTCGCCAAACACAAAAACACCTATCAAAATGGGAAGAACTCGTGGTCAGTCAAAAACCCTTGAGGAGAACCACGTAGCCCCCGGCGAAACCAACAGGACCGAAGCCTCCAACAGGCTCTTGGTACCCGAAGGCGGTATTATCGCCGAAATAGAGCAAGCCACCGCTGACCTCCGTCAGCAGCTCCAGAAGGCTGCCCCTGCCGCAGAAGGTTCCCCCTCCGGCCCCGGCCATCGATCTTCAGGCTGCCTTTGCGGCCTTTGTCCAGAACATGGCTCTCAACCCTGGAGCCTTCGTATCTCAGGCACCACTCCAACCTTACTTTGGGGGGAACACCGCTTGTCTGCCGCCCCCTCTTCTGTTCAACAATCCCATAATACGGATTGGCAACGCCGAGGGGGTCGTAGCACAAGACACCGCCTCCCAAGAGGTACAATCAAGGATAAACGTCACAAAGAGAAGCCCCGAACCTCTGCCCTCGAGAGGTTGGGCCAAACTCAAGAGCGCCGAGGGGTCCAGGACCGCCTCGGTGGGAAGGCAACCAGCAAACCGCAAGAAAGCGGAGGCTCCGTCTCGGGGGCCGAGGAGAGAACTCCCCCTCGGGACAAAGGCAAGCGCCCCCTCCATGCCGACGACGCCAGGCACCAAATTAATCAGGCTCAGTCCATCCGGGCCAACTCCGAAGGGATTGCCCCGAAGGATCCCAAAGACGAAATAATCGAGGCCCTCCTCCGCCAACTTGAGGAGACGCGTCAGGCGCTCCCAACGGCTTCCGCGCCGGAACCAGATCCGGAGTATGCCGCCCTCCGGGCGCAAGTGGAGGAGATGAAGCGCAAGTTCGCCGAAGGCTCCGACGAACCCCTCATCCAACTCCGCACTAGGACACCTTTCACCCCAAGGGTGCTGGCGGCTAAAATCCCCAACAAATATCGGGGACAACCCATCAAACCATACGAAGAGAAGACGGATCCCCAAGAACACTACAGCAAGTATCAAAATAGTATGATGATGATGGGGGCATCGGACGAATACTTGTGTCGTTGGTTCCTTTCCACCTTGGAGGGGCCGGCGTATGAGTGGTTCAACCGGTTGCCCGAGGGCAGCATAGATTCGTGGCAAGAACTTGGGCCAAACTCCGTAGAGTTTTTGGACAACAAATAAGTTAATGGCTCGTTTGGTAGTTTACACGTTAACTCTTTGCACGTGAAGTGATTGCATGCAAAGTATATGGAAGCAATCATTTTGCATGTAAAATAGATTACATTGTTTGGCTAGATGTGTAATTTATTTTTAAATTGCATGCTAAGGCGTTGCAGTGCTTCATAAAAGGCATGCAAAGTATTTTACCCCCCACGTAAAATACTTCACATGGTACAGTACGAAATGTTTTTAAAAAAATGTCCTACGATTTACATTAAATAATCAAACAAAACAGTGTAAACATTTTACGTCTTTATACTTCACATGCAAAATAATTATTTTACATTCTACCAAACGCCCCCTAAAAGTAAAGAAAAACTAAAACATTTTATTTTAACCCTTGGAAGTTAACAACTAAGGATGTCTTTACTTGGACTGTTTTCAGTCCCAAACCAAATCAAATCAGACTAGACTAGACCAGACCAGACTTGGATAGTTATAAAATATACAGGGACCATATATTTAACAGACCAGACCAAACCAGAAAATTCCAATCCATGAAAAAATCCTAACGCTCTAAAAACCCCTACCAGCAACCGATCTTAAGCGTCACCGATCTATGCTAGTAGTTAGTACTTAGTAGTGTGACTAGGATGAGTGGTAAAATACGATAGTACATCGTACACCCGGTTGTACGGTCCTCAACGTAAAACCGGATATTTTTGCCATTATTCCCAAGCGAGATGCAATTTACTCCTGTTTGCATCTGATTTTCCCAGGGCCAACCCCACCGCTACATCTTCGAACCATTCCCGCACTTCCTCTTGAAAAATCAACTGTTCAATAACTCAATCTGGATGCTTTTCATGGAATTAAATCGGGAGTTGCGTTAAAAATAGATGAATGGAATTATGATAATCTTACGTCGTCCATGAAGAGGGAGTAGCCCCTGCAGTCGATTCTGCTATGGATGACTACCGATGGAGATGTGGGAAATTCTAATGAATAGTACATTTCTCATGTCAATTTCCGTTTGAGACTTCGGCTTCTTCTTTTTCGTTTTTTCCCTCTAGGTTATGTTAGAACTTTAATTTGAATATAAATCTAATTTTTCAGAATTCTAAAATGAATTAATTTAGATGAAAACTTGATTAAAAAATAATTTGACCTTTATCAATTTGATTAATAAATACCCAATTACATGATTCTAATACTCAATCGAGGAGTTTTAATGCTC